TCCTGATGAACATAAAATCACAAATTGGCAAAGCAGTAGCTGCTTTAAAGACTTGGTTGTCAAATATGTCCAACTTAAACATAAGAATCTTCAAGTCAAATGATACTTCTATCTTAATATAGGGATGTGAAACCTTAAAATACAATAAGGCATACATACATAAGTAGATCCAAAAACAAAAATTTCAGAAAAAAATATTAGGAACTAAATGGAATGAATTTATAACAAATATCAGGGGTGTAGGTTGTAGCCGTGTTGGTCTAAGGACATAGGCAGACAAGGTTCTTTGAGTAAGTCTGATATCTTTTATTAACGAGCCACGTGCAGTAAACGTCTTGTGTAGACACGGCTTGAGTATCCAAAATTTTTATGATTTGGCCAATAGCTACAAAAATATTTTTGAGTTATTTTTCCTCAGAACTTTGCAATGTATCTGGCAATTACGGTGCACTCATAGACTCACAGGGTTGGAAGGCACCTCACAGGGTTGCTGGATAGTCTATTTAACTGCTTCACTTTTCTAATGGCAAGGATGTTTTTCCCCAACATTGTTCTAATCTATATCTACTTTGCTGCAATTTCTAGCCATTGCTTTGGGTCCTGCCCTTTCCAGCAAGGGAGAAAAGCTGTACTCCCTCTTCCTTGTGGCAGCCTTTCAGATATTTGAAGACTGCTATCATGTCACCCTTAATGGCCTTTTCCTGCAAGCTAAATTTGTCTCATTCTCTCAGTCTTTCCTCACATAACACACTTTTCCAACCCCTTTATCATTTGTCACCCACCTCTAGACCCTCTCTAAATGTAGAGCCCCCAAATGCACACAATACTCTAGATGAGGATTAACCAGCATCAAGTGGGGTGGAATTCTTACATCCTGTCTCTTACATCTAACCTTTTGTTGATGAAACCTGTTTTTTTTCACAACTGCATCACATTATTGACTAATGTTGAGGCTCTTCTTAGCAATGCTGCCACCCAGCCAGTTATTGTACTTAGTCTTCTTCTTTCCTAGGTGTAGCACCTTGTAGTTGTCTGCATTATTGTCTCTAGGTGGGGGCTAGCTTGCTTGGAGCTGATTGCTGGATTTGGAGTCTCAAACAGTAAAGAAACCAATTTAATTTTGAATCCTGTAGAGTACCAAGCATAATTACTTGGCCCTTAATGATAAAATAAATGGTGTAGGTTCCTTGGTTTACCAGCTCCGAGTGTTTTCAATTGTAAATCAGTTTTATGTATGGCATCTGTGTTATAGATTGCTTCCATGTCACACTAGTTGAGGCATGCTAAATAGGTAACATGATAGGTAATTCTGTTCAAGATGGAATATAGAGGTGTAAGGGAAAGAAAAAGTTACATGGATGTAAGGGAAAGAAAAAGTTTTGAAATGTTAGAATATGTTGCAAAAGTTGGGAATGGAATTGAAACCAACTACTGAAACCTGCCTGAGTACAAGTGAAAAAGAGGAAAATCAAATCTGGAAAAGAAAGGTGCAAGAAAAAGTGTCGCAAATTACTGTCCACTGAAGTTGATCAAAACACTGCAGAGGAAGCTAAGCAATTGGCAAGCAGGTCTACATACACAATACTGAAATAGCTGGAACTGCATGGGAAGAAATCCATCTAAATTTGTAATGTTAAAAACTCACTAATTCCTTCAGTTTTACCTCAAATTAGTTTAACAGATTTATTGAGAGAGGTAGCTCTACAGCAATGAACACTTGCTTATGTGGCTAAATTGCTAATATACAAAAGAGAGAAACTAATTTTGCAGCTAGGCAAAGAAAAGGGGAATCGTATTTTAATAAAAAATAAGTAAATAAGGTTTTCAAAAGTGTAGTACTTGTTGAAAAATACCAAAGTCTAAAAGAAGAGAAAGATGTACATTACAACAAAAGCCTTTCATAACAGATGTAATAAGAGGAATAGTTCCATATTGAAGTATGACTGTGCTATGTGTTCATAAAGGAGCAGAAATAAAATAATTTTAGGAATTATGAGTATGACTTATGATTTAAAGTTTCATTTATAGTAGCAATTTCACCTTATACTGTAGCTGAAAGGCTAGTAGAAGAAGCTAAGATACTACTCAGCCACAATAAATTTCACATCAATTAGAGTATGCTCATAGACATTTGACAGGTCATGTCTGTCCAAAACCATCACAGACTATTTGGTGGTGGAGATATACTTTTCTCTGGAGCCATTTTAAAGTCTTCTGATCCTTTTGCAATGTTATGCCTTTTCTTTTAAAGAGGGTGATAGAATTTTGAATCTGTGCATTTTATTTTGTGAAAGACAGTAGGAAGAGTATAGGGCAATTAAGTGGTAACCACTACCTGGTGTTTTAAAAGAGTTGTTGAAGTGCTGTATCTTTCACCTACGGTTGTTCTTTGCCTCAGGAACCTATTATTTTAGCCTCCTGTCTGCCTGGTGTTACAGATCCAATGAAACTACTACTATCCAGTAGTGATGCATAGGGGGTGCACAGGGGTGCACGTGCACCCCCTGAGAGCATTGGTGCACCCCCTGACAGGCTGCACTCCCTGATTAGGCAACAGGCAGGGGGAGCTGGCAGGAGCACCAGTACCCACCCTGAGAGTGCCTGCTGGGGAGTGGGAGTGCCACAGCCACGTCCAGAGGTACTGTAGCCACTTCCAGGAGTGCTGTGGCTACTTCTAGAAGCCAGTGAGTGAGATCAACTGCAGAGGGACTTCCCTCCCCTGGTTGGCAAGATTGGCCATGTGGGGACCCCCACCAGTTGCTGACTGGTTGCTGGGGGGGACACATGCCCCCCCTGAGTAAGGTGGCACCAGTTGCCCATGCTATCAGAAAAGGAATTGAACTTAGGATATGGAAGAGGGACTTCAGAAAAAACTATGAAACCACTTCCATCTTCATTGTTTTTTCTATTTATTGCTGGTTGCAGGGTGATATGCATCTTTTGGCCCCCTGTTCATGTGAAAACCTCTGACCCAGGAGGGTCTACAGTAGTTATTAGAGAATGACAGATGCAGGCATGTGAACCTACACCCTAATAACAGGTAACATAGAGGACCTCTTCTGGATACATTTGTGCCAGAACCATCCCTTTTCTCCTTCTCCCAGTTTCTGAGCTACAATACCTCTTCCACAGTCCCAATTTCAGGTTTTCCAGCTCCTACTAAGTTAGACCATCTTGGAGTTAAACTGATCATGGGAAGAAAGACCATTCTGCTGCACACTTTTTAAAATAAAAGGGCTTGTTATCTAGATACCTGGTTGCATCCAATGACATTTAGGGCATTTATACAAGTACTCTGGAAGTGGGGGGGCACTTTAATTATAGTGGTTCTGAGAGCCAGTCTAATTAAAGCACCAGAACCATCTCATGTATTGGCATCCCTGCATTTAAAAATGGTGACGGGGGCCATTAAACTAAAGCTCATTGAACAAGCTGCAGTTACAGTGCCCAACCATCATCTTTAAGTATGGGGATGCTGATAGACTAGATGCTGGAGTCTACTGGAGCACAGTAATTACCATGATCCAACAGACTCGATTAACTGAGTCTGCTTCAAGCACCACTGCTCATTATGTGTGCCCTTAATATTTCGTATCAAAGAATCTAAAACAATTGACAGATTATATTACTTACATTTAACTTTTAAATACTAAACAGTGCAAACAGAAAAAAAATGTGTGCTATTCTATATCTGTTCACACCCTAATAGTTTAGAAATTCTTATTTTTAATTGCAATTTATTGTAGTCCTAACTGCTTTTATTTAGATTTTTTCCTTGATTGATTAAAGCCATCTTGATCAACATGAAAGGCACTAAGACTAGGTGCAGATATTACACTTATGCAAGAAGTGCACAAAAAGCATTCTACAGCCATAACTGAAGAGATGTTCACTGCACATAGAGCACTTTAAAAACAGCACATCTTGATCTAAAATAACCCTGGGTGGATATGGTATCAAATTAAAGAGCTTTAGGCTAGAGCACTTTGTTCAACCTCTGTACCAGATCTCACTGCATCGTAAGTTAGGTCGCAGTCTCCTGGCATCCCAGGGGCCTCTCACAGGGTGACAAGCTAGCCTGAGCCAATGCACATGTGCTCCAAACAAGCACCAGTTCATGTGGCAGAGGGGTTCCATTTACCCAATCTCTACGCCCAGTTCATGGCCCAGCAGAAAGCCACATGGGGCTCTGAGCTGCCATTTTCAAAAGGCTAGGGTGGCAGGATGGTGGGGGAGGGGGAACAATGTTGTCCTGCCAGTGGGTCTAGCCTGGTCCCCCTGAAGAGCCAAGCCATCCAGTTGGAGGGGGCACTGGGTGGCAGAGTGGCTCTGTTTCCCCTCTTTCTCTCCCCCAGCCCTTGCTGACAGATGGCAGCGGGGTTGGGGCTGGGGAGAGAAGCTGCTTCAGGAGCCTCTTGGGAAGTGTGCAGGAGCACCCCAGCCTGCTGGCTTCAGCCAGTCTAAGCTACTTCTGTGCTCCCCTCCCAAAGCGTGAATGTCAGTTCTGCTTGCTCCTGCACTAATCTAAGGTGCTTTCAGTAAAGTGCGATACTTGGAGCACTTGTGTTTCGGGCTTTTTGAATGTCTGTACTTAGCCTCAATCATCTTGATAACTGCAAGCCTGATTCTGATGCCCTTACATTACCCAATGCCTTTATGTATAGCCCTACTAAAGTAAATGAGACAGGTCATGGAGTAATATGCTTTCAGTATGAGTATTAGAGTGAGGCTCAAAATATATCCTCTTTCATCATACCTTATTGAAACATACCCTCTCCTTGACCTCAAGCGATTATCATTAACACTGTTCTTTTCAATTATGTGTAGTTATAAACATGTAGCAGGTCTCGAGGTAGCACCACCTTGGTACCTGGTGTCCTGCTGTGGTCTGACCCACCTGGCGGCTCTTTCCTGGGCCTGCCTCACCTCTAGTCTCTCACCTGCCATGATTCTGATGTTTCCTTTTGAATTATTGGAAAGGCAGTCCCTGAGGCCAGGAGCAGCCTTGCTGCTTCCCTTGACGGTCAGCTCTGCCTTCGCAGCTCAGGGCTGTGCTCCTTCCATTGAGCACTTCTCTTTTAAGGAAGTGCTCCTTCAGGGTTCTGAACACCTACTGGGGCTTCAGCTATCCCACCTCGGCCTACTTTTTCTCTGGCTTCACCCTCAACCTTGGTCCACTGTCTAAGACCTCAGCTCATGGGTATTGGCTCTGACTTGGCACTAGCCCTTCCTGGGGTTCCAGTTTTACCCCACCAGCCTCAGCCTTAGTAGCATCTGTCACTGATGGTGGGAAGTCCCACCCAGGAACCCCACCTGTTGCCTGCTCCCCTGTAACCACAATCTGACCCTCCAGTAGAAAAATGTGAATACAAAACAGCAGTTTAACTGGTCTTAATGTAAACATAAAACCCTCAGGGGCTTGAGCCCTGCTTCCCCAGCTGGCTGGCTAGCTTCTATCCCTCCAAGCCCCAAGCACCTATGTAAAGCTGACTTGGCTTCTTATTGAAGCCGGCTCTCTCTTGGGAGCTCCCTGTCCTCTTGCAGTCAGAGCCAAACTACCCCTTACATGGTCAGGGACAGGTTTATAGGCCTAATCCCAGCCTCGGTCCAGTCATGTGACTCACTCTCCTGCACCCAGGGGCCAGGTGCTGCTAATTACTTCCTAAACAGCCTGGCATTTTTTTTTTTAGTCCTTGGCTCAGTCCAGCTGTGCAGCTGTTGCTTGCTGCCATTTCTAGCCCTGATTTGTCTATACTCTCCCACCTTCATAGTAATAGGGGTAAGGGTTCCCTGTTACAAAGCAAGTGGAGCTTTCTTTTTAAATAAGAGACATTAATTCACTGGTGAAGGTCAAATTACTCCCTATAGTAATCGCTCTGCCTGTGATCCAAAATGTAGTCCCATTTCCTTTACATTCTTGTTCTTTTGATTTTCTAATGAATTAGTGATATGGTATTACTTCCTAATCCTTTCTATTATTCTTATCTCCATTCTTCCATCAGTTTCCCATTGGGCCAAATATAAGCATTTTCCATGGTCTATATCACATTTCCTAACTTCCAAATGTATTTTTAGTTTGCTACTTATACTAAGTTTTAAGGAGGGGAAAACAACTAGAGCATACAAGGAGTATATTACTGCAGTGTGTAAAAATGGAGATAACTTTTATCTGTCATGAAAGTACTTCATCAGTTTAAAGAAGCATAAATGAGCTGTGATTTTAAGTTGCAATTACACCTATTTCCCCAAAATTACATTGATATCAGTGTGAGTTTTGGGGTAGGTCAAAAAGATTCGAGAATCAGGCTCCTGAAATAGAAACTGCTCCTCTAAAAAGGGTAAATCTAATGGATTCTGAACAGGATGACATTAATGAGGACTACATGGATAAAATAGGATTTATTTTCCTTTAAATTGAAAGCTAGGAAGGAGTTTTTGCTTGGTGGCTGAATATCTGCTAACCAGAAAAGTATATTATATAAGCACACAGTTCTATGTGGTTGACTGAAACATAGAATCATTGAAAAATAGGGTTGGAAGGGACCTCAGGAGGTCATCTAGTCCAACCCCTTGCTCAAATCAGGACTATTCCCACCTAGATCATCTCAGCCAAAGCTTTGTACAGACGGGTCTTAAAAACTTCCAAGGATGAACACTTCACAACTTCTCTGGGTAACCTCTTTCAGTATTTTACTAACCTTGTAGGGTGCATCCACATGAGTGTGCACATGCCTCTTGCCCCACCTCAAACTCCTTTGAGGTGGGGCAACAGGCACATGTGGGAACAAACAAATGTTCCCTGCGCTGCAAGTTTGCAGCCTGGGGAGAAAATTTGACCCCTGGATATCCAGGGGTCTAAAAAAAGCGAAGTATAAAAAAGCAGGGCAGCTGGAAGCTGGGTCCTCCATGGAGGCAACCGGAGGCTGGGTCCTCCATGGGGACACTCTGGCTGCCAGAGTGTCTCTATGGTTGCCCCTGGCCCTGGTGCTGAAACATGCGGCTGGCCAGGCCGCATGT